TTACTCAGCGTGGCATCCTCCAGGCTGGCGATCCAGTTCACTGTGCTCCGAACCTGGGATGGGGGAATGAAGAAGCTGGGATGGGACTAGGGTGCTGAATGGCAGACACTGGCATCTGCCATGCTCACAGCCCAAGGGCACAGCACTTCCACGGAGACCCACAGGGCAGCTCAGGTGAGCCAAGCCCTCAAAGTCCCACACGATCGCCCTCAGCCTGTGTCAGGGCCACTCCCCTTCGGGGCGTTTCCTTGGCTCCCTGCCCACCCACCATGCCCCCCGGAAGGGGCAGCAGGTGCCCCGCGGCGCTGCTGGGCTGTCGGTACCTTGGGCTGTGGAGATGCGCTTCCGCCACCGTTCTCCAGTCTGCAAAGAGGAGAAACACACACGGGTGAGAGCCCTAGAGCCGGCCCCTCCCGGGTGTGAATCAGCTCCCTGCAGTCACAGCACCCGGGGGGGCACCACGTCGCCCAGAGCAGAGCCGGCGGCCGCGAGTTCACTTGGGGAGTTCAGCTTGGGGCTCCTCCACCAGAGCACTGAGCCCCAGAGCTTCCTGTGTGTTTAAACCCCTCCTTCTCAGCGGGGAGCCCAGATACCTGGATGGGGAGAGGGTCCGAATGATACTGACTAGTTCCCTCCTCCACAGAGCGTGTCCTCGCAGCATGTCCAAGAGCCCTTAGCCTCCCAAGTCCATTCCCTCTGAGGCACAGAGAGGCCTGGCCCAGCCACGCGAGTTAGCAGCAGGGCTGGGGTAGAAGGCAGACCTCTTGACTCCCCACCCCCACTCTAGCCCCACACACCTGCGCATCCATCCTGGGACTAGGACCCGGGAGTCCAGCGCTCCAGTCACTGCTGCCCGGGTTACACCGCAGCCTCTCCAGGACTCAGGCCCGCGTGAGGCACTGGCATGGCTCCGTCTAGGCACGGACGGGGCCTCAGGGGTTCGGATGTAAGGAGGTGGGGCGGGGGGGCGGTGACTCACGTTCTGTTCCTTCGACGATCCTGTGTCTGGTCCCGGAGCAGGCTGCACAGGCGAGGATCCCGGCTCACGAAATCCGAGAGGTTCTGCAGGACAAAGGCTCTGGCTGGTCAGTACCAAGGCTGCACTGTGATTCTAGGGTGACCCTGAGGTCACCCTACGCAGGGGCCTGGAAATCTCTCCCGGGGGGGGTGGGTATTTGGGGTGGGCTCCATGGGAAGCAATGCCCCCACAATGCCAGTATGACCTGTGGCAGATTGAGTGTCTGGGTCCCTGGGGCTATAAGGATGGACTCCTGCTATGCAGGGGGCAGTAGCCGGGGGCAGTTTTACTTTCCTAGGGTAGCGCTCCTGGTGCTGGATTATGGAATCACGTCCTCATGGGCTGCACCCCCACTGGCAAGGGACATGCAAGGAACGGTGGCCACGGGTGGCAGGGGACAGAGCTCAGCAGCTCCGAGGCCAGGACCAGCCTCGTCATTCCCTTGGATGTCAGCCCCCTTGAGCCCGCTGCTCGCCACACTCCCCTACCCATGTGCTGCTTAGCTCCTCCCCTGCCCCCTCCCCCGCAGTACCTGCAGCAGGGTTATGGCACAGTGGTCGGCTTGCAGCAGGGGCCCATAGAGCAGCACCCACTGGCTGACCAGCCTCAGGATCTTCTGCCGCTTGCTGAGGGAGTAGACAGCCTTCTCCTGCTCCGAGCCCTCGGACGGCTCCGCGTGGAAAGTGGGGGCCAGTCAAGGAAGCCTCTAGGTCAGTGTGTGCTGGGAGCAGTAATGGGGCCAGGCAGCAAGTCTGCAGGGCATGCCCAGGGGCAATCGGCCCCACTGCAGAGAGGGACGAGCCTTGCAGTGTGCACCCAGAGAACAGCAGAACCAATCAGCCCCACAGCACAGGCATGTGGGGAGTGTGCACAGCAGGAGGCGATCGGACCCACGGCATGGGCAGGGAGGGGGACCAGGACGCCCACATTGTTGGCTTTAACAGCACTGCCCTTTTGCTGACAGTCACCCCATTCCACATCCCAGACCCCCCCAGGTGCAAGCAGCTCTGTCTAGTCCATAGCTCAGTGGCTGGGATGCCTTTGCTCTCTGCATACAGCCCCTGTGCAGTGCGCAACTCGGTGCCGACTGGCCCAGGCAGCAGGTGCTTTGAGCCAGAGGGACGCAGACTATGGGCACACTAGAGAGCTCAGAGCCGGTGTAAGCTGCTCTATGCAGATGGGAGAGATTTCTCCCGTCGACTTCATTACTCCACCCTAGGGTTACCATATTTCCACAATCAAAAAAGAGGACACGGGGGGGGGGGAAGCCCCGCCCTAGCCCCGCCCTAGCCCCGCCCCCATCCACTCCCTCCCACTTCCCACCTCCTGACTGCACCCCTTAGAACCCCAACCCCCCCCTGCTTCTTGTCCCCTGACTGCCCCGACCCTTATCCACTCGCATGGGTGGCAGGGTTGTAGAAATTTTGGTGGTGCCCAGAACCCCCCCCCCATCTGCCTAAGGCTCTGGGAGGGGGGTTGGGTGGGGGGAGGAGGTCTGGGGTGCGGGTCCTGGGCTGGGGATTAGGGTGCAGGAGGGGTGCAGGGTGCAGGTTCTGGGATAGAGTTTGGGTGCTGGGTGCAGGCTCCGGGCTGGGGCAGGGGGTGGGTGTGCAGGAGGGGGTGAGGGGTGCAGGCTTTGGGAGGGAGTTTGAGGGCAGGAGGGGGTGTGTGGGAAGGGGGAGGGGGTTTGGGAGGGAGTATGGGGATAGGAGGGGATGCAGGGGTGAGGGCTGTGGGTCTGAGGATGAGGGGTTCATGGTGCAGGAGGGGGCTCAGGGATGGAGCAGAGGATTAGGGTGTGGGGGATGAGGGCTGGGGCTGAGGGGTTTGGGATGTTGGAGAGGCTCAGGGCTAGGGTGGAAGGATTTATACGATCTGAAGAGAAAGGGCAGCCTGTCTTCCCATTAGTAGATGGGGGACACTAGGACCCGGGGGCAGCAGACAAGGGAGAGGCAGGCAGGGCGGGGCCCACGGGGGGGGACGACGCGAGGAGGGGGGGGTGGCAGGTGGACGCCGGGGACCCATCCAACACTCCCCCGCTCCCTGACTGCCCCCCTCCCGGACTCCCCTTACCATTCTGGCTCCACGTGTTTGCAAAATACTCTGCCCAGTGGGTCGGTTTGTGTGTTACACAGGGCTGCAGACAGAGGGAGGGGGGAGCAGGGGAGGGCTCTGGTTGCTGGAGGCCAATGGGAGTGGGTCAATCGGCCCAGCCGCCCAATCAGCAGCCGCACTCTGCATGGAAGGGAGGGAGGGAGGCGAGGGAGAAAAAACCCCCCGAACATTTTAACCTTGTTACCAATTCCTCCCGGACGGCTATTTAGAGACGCAAAAGCCGGACATGTCCGGGGAAATACGGACGGATGGTAACCCTACTCCACCCCAACGAGTGGCGGCAGCTACGCCCCACCGACGCAGCCTGTCCACACCAGCGCTTAGGTCGGTGTAACTTACGTCGCTCAAGGGGGTGGTTTATTCACAGCCCTTGGCAGTGCAGACATAGCCTTAGACTGAGACCAGCAAAATGAGCCAGGATCTGGGTCTCCCTGAGTGAGTGTGGAGGGGGTGGCACCTCTGGGCCAGTGGGCCCTGAGAATGGGCCTGTTTCTTCAGACAGCGGAGCCCAAGCGCAGAACACACAGGCTGCAGAGCTACAGACCCCCACAGTGGTTCTCTGGCGGGCTCCTCACAGATTCTCTCGGTTTCTCTGTCTTTCGTGGTCAGGAGGAAACCCCCATGACCCACCCCCTCCCCGGCTGCCCCGCGAGGTGCGGGTCCTTGCGGCCCTAAAAGGATATTGGTGCAGCAGGGCTCTGCAGAGCTGGGTGGTCGGCATGAACACATTGTAGGTCAGCAGGAAATCCCCAACCAAGGTATCTGAAAAACACCAGCCCAGCACGCGTTAAAGGGTCCTCGCCCCAGGCAGGACCCACTGGTTCTGGGCCCAGCAGCAATCCCCAAGCAGGGGGCTCTGAGCCCAGCAGACTCCCACCATCCCAGTCCCCTGCCCCCAAACCACCTCAGGCCCCTGTACTCCCAGTCCCCAACCATCCCAGCTCCCTCAAACCATCCCAGCCCCCTGCGCTCCCACCATCCCCCCAACCATCCCAGCCCCCTGCATTGTCTTCAGAGCTGGATGGCTAGAGAGCAGCTGCCACTCTCCGGCTGCCCACCTCTGAAGGCAGCGCCACCGCCAGCAGAAGCACAGAAGTGAGGGTGCCTGGTGTGGTATTGCCACCCTTACTTCTATGCTGCTGTTGCTGGTGGCACTATCTTCAGAGCTGTGTGCCCAGCCAGCAGCTGCCGCTCTCCAGCTGCCCAGATCTGAAGGCAGCGCAGAAGTAAGGATGGCACTAGCCTTGCAACTCCCTTTTGGGTCGGGATCCCCCGTTTGAGAAATGGTGACGTAAGGGCTTTATATGTTTGTGGTTTTAAATACATAGTCATGCTTTGTTACAACACTGAAATTTAAGATTTAAATATCTTGAAACCATGAAATTCAATATTTTTAAAATACTAGGACCATGAAATATACCAAACTGGACCATGAATTTGGTAAGGCTCTAGCTATGGGCGTTGTGTGGAGGATGTAAGACAGTCTCTGCTCTATGAACTGGCTGAGTGCAGCACTTCCCTTTAGTCCTGGGGGAGCCTGGCACCATGTCCCAGCTCAGAGAAACTCTTCATTTGCATGCGTGTCCCCATGAGCGTGTATCTGTGTACGTGTGTATCCATGCACATGTCCGTGCACGCATGTATCTCTGCGCACAGGCATGTCTGTGCCTGTGTATCTGGGAACGCGTGTATCTGTGTGTGTCCGTGCACAGGTACCCGTGGGAGCGTGAATCCGGGGGCGCCTGTCTGAGCATGTGGCGAGCCCAGCCCAGCCAACCCACACATACCCAGGGGGTCTGAGAACGTCGCGTCCAGCCTCATGGCTTCCAACAAATGCTCCAGGATCTTGTCAGGGGTCCCAGCCATCACCGAGTACCTGGAGGACAGAGCACACCCAGGCATGTCAGACTCTCACAGGGTCATAAGCCTCATCCCCTAGACACGTGGCCGAGCCACAGCCCACACAGGCTCAGCAGAGCCACCAGGTGGCCAACTACAGAGATGCCGCTACCTGCCCCACACACGCTCCCAATCTGGCAGCTGGGGCCCACAGCTCAGATGCATCCCAGCATCCTTTGCAACAAGCACCACGGCTCCTTTGAAATGTTGCAGCTGCCTCCCACAATGGATTCTGGGAGGCCAAGGGGAGCAGAAGCAACAGCTCCCCACCCTGCTGCATCAGACAGTGGGACCCAGTCAGAGGGAGGCGATGGGACGAGTGTGGGAGCTGCATGGGGCAGCCTGGGGTTGCAGTGAGGTCTCCCTGGGAACAACCCAATCTGTCTCAGTGCCGCCTGGGCCCTGGGGTGCTGCTGGTCCCAGGCCTGGCAAGGTTTTGGCCGCAGGGGTAGAAGCCGCTGTACCTACTGCTCCCCGCAGACGGTGACTGGCTGCTGGAGCCGCTTCCCTGCAGGTTCTTCTCCAGCACTAGCACCACCTTCCCGTGCTCCTTCAGGCGCATGGTATTGGCCTCAACACCCTAGAGAATCCAACGTCAGTGCGGCTACTGAACTGTCCCAGTGAGATGGGTCCGCAGGGGTGGGGTGGGGCAGTGCAAGGACTGGGGCAGGGGTAGGGCAGAGTAAGGACTGAGGCGGGGTAGTGGGCACTGCAAGGACTGGGGCAGGACAATGACTGGGGCCAAAAGAGGGCACTGCAAGGACTGGGGCAGAGGCAAGGATTGGGGCGGGGGCAGGGCTGGGGGCAAAGCAAGGACAGGGCCAGGGCCAGGGGCAGGACATGTGTCAGCCACACACCCCCCAACACACCCTCCTGCTGCCCAGTGTCCCCAGCCCTATCCCCAGCCTGGTACGCCATGGACACAGGGCCAAGTGGCTCTGGTGAGGTGAGATGATCCACAGACCAAAGAGGCAGCAGTCTCGGTGCCCACAGCCTGCTTGTCGGGGCAGCAGGAAGGGGAACACAGGAGAACTGCCCTCTGGGGATGGCTGGGCCCCGTGGCTCAGGGTCTGGGCCCACCTTGAGGATGCGGTTGAAGTCTCGCTTGTCCACGCGCAGGAAATGGCAGTTGTCCTCCCGCAGGATGATGGTGGCGGCTCGGGGGGCATCGTTCACCAGCGCCAGCTGTCCAAAGTCATCACCCTCGTGCAGGGTGGTCACCAGGCCCTGGGGGTGGCAGCTGGGTGAGAAACCAGAGACCCCCACACCATCACCCGCCGGCTGGGGAGCAGGGGATCCGGGAGGCACTGGGATGTAGGGGGAGCACCATGCTGGCCCAGGGGACACAGGCCCTTCAGCTCCCACCTCCACTGGTTGCTCTCAAGGGGCGGAGCTGAGAGGTCCCGGTTCCGTCCCAGCAGTGGGGCCCAGGTAAAGTGACCAGATATCCCGATATTAGGGGCTTTGTCTTACATAGGCAACTGTACTCTCCCCCGTCCCGATTTTACATGCTCCCTATCTGGTCACCCTAGGCCCAGTGGGCCTGCAGGGGGAAGAGCCTGGAGGTCCTGGTTCTGTCCCAGCAGTGGGGCCCAGTGGGATTGTAGGGGCAGGGCAGCGTGGAGGGCAGGGAAGCACATACCTTGCCATGGGTGACCACGTTCACTGAGCCCTTCCAGATGATGTACCACGAGGTGCCTTTGTCTCCTTGGCTGAACACTGCAAAGAAGCCGTGGTTTGTCCAGGGAGCCCAAGCGACTGCAGATGGGGCAGCCCTTGTCAGGGGTCTAGACCGCACGTCCCAGCCTCGCAGAGGCTATGCGTTCCAGGGGAGCTGCCCTGCCCAGCCCAGCCCTGCCCTGGGGAGCACGGGACGAGCACTCTCAGGGCTGGTGCTTTAGCCGGCTCCGTCCCCTAAGCCGTGAGGACCTGTGGGGCAGCACAGCGGGGTTGGGATGTGCCAAACGCTGAATGCCACCGTTTCCAGCCATTCCCACGCTGACCGCCCAGGAACTCAGAGAGCACAGGGCTCAGGTCCTGCACCCCAGCAAACAGCCCCGGGGCTCCTCCCTTCCCTTCCTGCAGGGTCTGGTGGGCACAAGGGTCCCTGGGATCGGAGCCCTGCAGTGGGTGCCAGGGGAGGTCACTGCCCTCTCTGGTGCTGGTCAGTCTGCTGTGCGGTGCCAGGCAATGGCACACCATGGGGCAGTGCCTGGTGCTGCATCTCCAAGGTGTAACTTCCTGGTCAGAGGACGCCAGGCCCCAGGCTGGGTAGAGTGGTGCCCCAGGAACCAGACTGGCAGAGCGCAGGACACCCCGCTCTGGGCCCAGGCTGGGAGGAGCACGCTCACAGAGTCACTGGCTGGGGCAGGCTGTGATACTCACACACGGTGCCCGCTTTGGGGTGTGACTCAAACAGTAGCACAGAGGCCAGCTCCCGCTTCACCTGCAGTGAGAGACACCTCTTAGTGCTGCCCCGGCACAGGGCGAGGGTCGTGGGATGGGGGGGGGGCGGGCGCTGGATGGCATGAGGCCTGGGCTGAACGATATGAGCATATTGGGGCAGGGGGGCAGTGGGAGGGAGGGTGCGCTGCTGGGCCGGGCTTGCCTGGCAGAACTTGGCAGGAGCAACAGCGGGGGCCCAGTGGGGCTCAGTGAGATGCCTGGGGAGTTGGGTTGGGGAACTCCATGGGGCCAAGGGGGCAGAGAGTGCCGGGGGGTTGGGCTGGACAGTCTAGGATACACAGAGGGCAAGAGGTGCTCGGCAGAGGGTGCCCCATGGCTGGAAGGAGGCTGGAGCTGGGTAGAGGCAGCCAGGGTAGAGGTGGAGCAGGACTGTAGGTGGGGTGGAAAGCAGCAGGGGTGGTGAGGAGGGGAGTGGGGGCTGATGGGAGAAAGAGAATGGGGGCTGGCAGGCGGAGGGGAGCAGGGACTGACGGCGGGGAGGGCAGAGCAGGGGTTGACCATGGGGAGGGGAGTAGGGGCTGGTGGGGGCAGGGGAATGGGGACTGGCAGGCGGAGGGAAGCGGGGCTGGTGGGGAGAGGGGCTGGTGGGGGAGGGGAGCAGGGACTGACGGCGGGGAGGGCAGAGCAGGGGTTGACCAT